AGCATAATATAACTTTTACATCCCTTATGTTGGTTTTCCAGCGCTTCTTCATCTTACAAGCTTATGGTGAATTTTGAAGGCTTTTTTTTTAACATCACAAAAATCTTTCCTATTTTTCCCAATGATTCTTTCTTCTTGCCAATAGCTTCTCAAACCTTTATTCCCCATAATTGTTGTCTTTTGATGTAACTGTTTTTCTGTTCTCTGGGATTTGGAAATGCGCCTTGCTCTGCTTGTGCCCTAGTTTCCATCAGCAGAGACTGCAGGGGTTGTTACTGCCTTACTGATCATACAAGTAAGCCGAACACCTTGGTTGTTTTGGTTTTTTTTCTCCTCTTTTATTTCCTGACTAGCTCCTTTCATCCAGTCTTGACTTCTTGACCAAAGTTCTCTAGACAGTTTGAATCTTATCCAATATCTTGGACTTGCACTGTAGTTGATGTAGGGAATCAATGGAGTCGAGGGGTTACCTCCAGGAGGCACTTCAGAGTGTCAGAGAAGGGAAAATGTATGTATGTCTTATTTAACTACATGGTGAGTCTAAGCAAAACTAAGCTACTAAATTCTGCTTTTCAGTTAAGTCCCTACAATTATGTGAAATTAATCTATGTTTTATTATGTGGATTTAATAGATTGCGTGATGAGTCCTCAGTCTCATTGTGACACGCTGTGGGAACTGCTGTAGTGTAAGAACAAACATGCACTGTAATAGAAGTGATTACTTTCAAATGCAAAGTTTGTTAGAAGAATGCAATTACTTATTGTACTGCTAGATATAGATAAAGACTCCTTATTGAGCAAGATCAAATGTTTTAAATTGAAATGGTGATAGTAAGGGATAATTTATCAGTGTAATACAACTGGTGAACACCAATGATTACTTCTTTATCCCTACATCCCTCTTAGTGGTTCAGATCTGTAATATGTTGAACTAAAGTTAAATTGTAACCACTTATTCTAGTTTTGTTATTACCCTAACAAATCGTTCATGATGCATGAAATCTGTAGATAGTTGGGGTCCAAATACCGAAGTCATACCCAGTAGTTGATAGTGGTAGGATATAACAGAAAAGAAGGGGTTTGTGTAGTTATCAAGGTGGCAAACTGCTGATCATAGTATATGAAAGCTTCAAACTTTTCTGTGGAGATGAACATTTACCTTTTTTAACTAGCATCCTTGCCTAATGTAGGCCCTTCACAGAGCCTTTTACAGAACCTTTATAGGGAATCTTAAATTAATATTGAAAGGTTTGGTTAACATAGTGTGAAAAATTTAATGGACTGCTTGATAATTGTTTCAGAACATAATGCTCCTTGCATTAACATTTAAATATTGCAGATTTTTATAGTGGACTCTTAATATGCAGTCATGACCTGCAAGCTGTATCACAGTCAAGCTCTGTGTAATTGCAGAGTAGGTTTTATTAACCAAATTTTTTATAGGGGATAATATGGCTCTTGAACCATATCCCTTTTTATAGGGGATAATATGGCTCTTGAACCAAAGACATTAGTAGGAATCTGTGCTTTATTTTGAAGGATTGATATAATTAATACCAAACTATAGTGAAGGACAGGAAGTGCTATCATTTCTGATGTGTGGTTAAGACTTGGTCACACTTGCTTGATAACATGTCTTTTTCGAAATGTTATATTGAATATAATTGGGAAAGACGTTTGATATCCTATACTTGTTTAACATAAATTTAAATATCTTTTTAAGACCATAAGGTATAGATTTGTCTTTACATATTCTTTAAAGTTAATTTAAAAAAAAAAAATTAAAAAGTGAATTAAAAGCTATCATTCAATACCAATGCCAATGTATATTCTTCATCCAGTGGAATAAGTAACAATATTATAAATAGAAGTTAAATAATGGTCAAATTAAATATTTAATAGGAAATTGCATTTAATTTTGTGGTTTTTTTTCGTGCAAGATAACTTGCAGTTTGATCCACGGCGGGAGGTGGGGGGTGGGGATCCTTATTGGGTTGCAGGCATGAAGTAATTGAATCTCTTTTTTTCTGGTATAGGAGGTAGCTACAATTATGACTTTACATATCCCAGTATACTGCAGTATCTGTTCTTTAGGCAGTGCTTGTGAAGCAATGAAGCAAAATTTTTCATACAAATGTTGAACTGATTGGTTTGGCCCTTTTAAATTAAAATTTAAAAGTCTATGTGAGAAAGGAAGCCGTATAAAGTAGTTCCATTTTAACCATGGAAATTTTGGGGGGCCGGTTACAACAGCCATGTTGGGGCTCCATTTTGAATTTAAAAATAACATTGTTAGATTTTTATAGTGATTTGAAATAAGGTTGTTTTGTAAGCCTTTTTTTGCAGGAATATTGTCCTGAATCATTTTTTTCATTTGTCAGAGGAATACATTTTCATGATGTAAAAAACCAGAACATTTTACAAAATTTTAAATTCTTATTCTTTGTGGGAAAGCTTGTTGTTTGCTATTTTTATATCATGCTTTAGTTATTCAGTTAGCAAGCTGAGTCAAACTAAATAGTAGTAACAATCCCTTTTGCCTTCAAAACCCATGACTATTTTTACAGCACTTAAAGTACTTTATGGGGGGTATCTAATAAGGGATACAATGACAATTACATGCTGTAACTTTCTCAATTCCCAAGACAAACTGTGAAATCGATATCTTAATAATAAAAGCTGGGGAGGGGGTGGTTTGTTTCTAACACTTAAGGTCTATAGGAATGAAGAAGGGAGTGAAACAATACTAAGAAATCAGCAGAAGGATGGTTGAAATTGTAGCCTACATAACTGTTCAACTTCCTAGTCAAATAATGACAAACTGTGTATATATGGCCACATGAAAAATTATGCAGTGCACTAAACTAATATTAACCTTGCTATGTCATCTGGGCTTTCTTTGTTCTGTTTGTTTTGTATATAAAGCTTTATGAAAGTCTTTAGTTGAATAATCAATGTTAGGTTATTTTTTCCTTGTTACATGAACTTTCTACGTTCATGTAACATGGACCTGCTCTGGAAATGAATCAAGGTTGCGTTGCAGGAGGCTATTGTCTCCTACACCTTGGTCTTATTTGTTGCAGGCAGTGAATGAGGCAGGGAACTTTATGAAGAGAAGAATGGTCTTGGAATATAAGCAGTTGAATATTGCACTGGAGAAACGTATTCTATGTATGCTTCAGCAGTAGAAATGTTTGCACAATTCTATGCGATTTGCTTAACTCAACCTTTCCATGGGGTTCATCATTCTAAGAGCCCAACATGTGTTTTGTGATTTTCAGAAGTGTGACACAATTTTAAAAAATAGATTCATGAACTGAGGTAGTTCGAAGTGGTGGTCTGAATAACTGTGGCTTTTTCAGAGCGGGGGGAAGGCTTATAGACCTATCAAATTGACCTTCTGAAATTAATTAATAACTTTATAACATTGGTTCCTCTGTAATTCTGTTCCTTGTCTGTGGGAGGAGACTATTGGGGTGGTCTTACCTCCAAAGGGAAGCTAAAACCAGAAAATCATTATTGTAAAATTCTCTGATGCTTCCAGCAGGTCCAGCCATGATTAGTCAGCAGAGTTTACGCATGTCAAATTTTACTGGTGCGTTTAATAGTGATATTTGTGATCAACGAATAACCTTGAAAAAACAGGAATTCTCTTTTGGGGGTTTTATCTGCTTACCAGATCACTGACAATGAAAATGTTCTTTTAGGGTTTGGTTCAGAAGCTTTGGGGGACAGAAATTTAATGTATGAGAATCTATACAATTTATTTGAACTGCACATTTGTGTTAAGTCATTTGTGCCAAAACATTTTCAGGATTAAGACTGTAAACACTTTACACACACTCTATTACACTTTCTCTAGGTAATTTTAATTTAGTCGGAAATGGTGAATGTTGAGTTTTCAACAAAAGCAAAGCTTGAGCAAGACTCAGCCCAAGGGATAGAGCAGAATTGTAGTTGAGACAGAGAAGCAAATTTTCACTATTTCTTACTCAAACGTAATGCATTGCATTAGAATTATTTAGGGTGTTTTCTTTATAGATGTTAATTTAGTACGCACTGCCTATCAGACAAATAATGAAGATGGTATGTGAGAATATAAAATATCTGCAATGATAATCAGTGCTGGATTAAAGTGGGTGTGAAGCTTCTATTAACTAATTTCTGAAACAGTAACCCTTAATTCAAGTCCAGCCTGAGTCTACAGCAAATATCCCACAGGCAGACCAATCTTTTGGGGAACACTGTCACTACTTTTACCTGACTCCACACTTTTGGGAATACTGCTAGTATTTAACCACACTGTAAGCTTCAAGCAGAAGTTGTAAGCCAGGCTGTTTCTGATTTGTCTCTTCCTTCCACTTCGCCATTTCTCTTCCAGGCATAGAGACCCCCAGGAGGAGAGACATTAGAAAGTACACTTTGAAAACAAATAGAAAAATATTTAGATGCCACTTAATCATTTGCATCGCAGTGTATATGCTCTGTCATTTGGTGGGGACAAGGTGGGATTCTAAAGGAAAATTCTCAATACCACTAAGAAACGTTTTGTTTGCTGCAAAGCAACAAACTTGTTTTGTAATTTTGGTTATGTAAATTTTTACATTAAGAAATTATTTGTATTTATGAAATTTAAACAAACTAAAGCTGTTATAAAGAACTTGATGTTTTCTGACTTCTGAATGCTTTGTTTCTACTAGTTTTTTTATGTAAAATTCAAGCTGCAGATTAATTTATAAAAGCTCAATATTTTCTCCTTTTTGAAGGGCAAGGAGAGAGTTCAAAAACCTTTGAGCACATGAGAGCAAATCCTTTATTTTGAAATGTTTCCTACCTGGTTGGCATGATAGTTTTGAAGCGTTCAAAGGGTTGTACAATGCTATATGAACACCTTTGGGCACCTAGAAGAAACATATGCTTATACTTCTGACTGAAGAATGCAAGATTTCTTTTCCTGTTCCCTCCAGTGGGACTGATCAGCATTTTTATTTGTCCCGCAGGGGTTGTTCAGAACTTTGTCGTATACCCATGGTGGAATACAAACTTGACAGTGAAGGCACCCCATGTGAGTATAAAACCCCTTTCAGAAGGAATACCACTTGGCATCGGGTGCCGACTCCCGCTGGGCAGCCTCTCTCTCGTGCCTCTCCAATCCTAGGAACATCTGACAGACTGCAGTGCCAGCAGCTTCTCCAGCAGGCTCAGACAGCCATTCCTCGCAGCACTTCCTTTGACAGAAAACTGCCAGATGGCGCAAGGTAATACACTCCCCGTTTAATGCCTGTCATTTTCCTAATGTGCCTTACTTTAGATATCTCTGCTTTCTAGAACTTTAGTGTACTTATTTTTTAAACCTTATTTTGTTGAGTTTTGACAGTAATTTTAATTCTGAGGTTGTATTAAAAAGCGTTCACTGAGCCCAGTTCCCTCTACTTGAAACAAGTGACTTCTGCTGTTTGTGCTGAAAGTGGACTGTACTGAGGATCCTACCGCTAACCTTTCCCTTTAGTCCCAAATGAATAAAGTGGGAAACTGCCTTGTGACTTTTTGATCTAAACAATGTCCTGTCCCCCACCTTTTGGGATCCTATTCAAACAAATAGGGAGTATAAATAAAACGAACTCATCCCTTTAAAAAATGAATTATTTACTCTCATTACCAAGCTATTGGCATAGTTTCAAAGGGTTCTGTAACTCATTACCAGTCCTTATGCTTTGCTTTGCTTTTAATTAAACAAAGCAGAGCTTGTGATTTGAATATGTAACACCTCTTAGATGATGGGATGGTATCCTTAAATGTTAGCTCTGTTCTAATTAAATCATAATTCTTCATAAGATTTTAAAGTTTATTTTTAAAATTAAAAATTTGTAAATACATTTGACCTTTGAATTATTTAGGAAAATTATATGTCTTGAGCAGAACTCTCTGTCCTTTATTGTTTGCAATTATTTCGGCTTATGCTCTTTTTCCATGGGGTGCTGTAGTTCTAATTTCCAAGGAAAAAAAATACTGCATGTCGAAAATATCTAATCGATATGAAAATCTAAAATACTAGTCTTAAATAGCTTTAAAAAATACTGGATAAAATTATGAAATGCTGCTATTGCTACACTATCTCTCTTATTTAGTAGAAAAGAATTAGTGACTTTTTACATTGTTTGAAATATATACAGGTAATAGTACATATTTGAAGATAGGTCTATATCATGGTCTGGAGAAGGCAGACTCCCAGTTATGGCCATTTGATCATTTGTATTCTCCTTTTCCTCTACCCCCCTCCTCACCCCCTGAAAAAAGGAGAGGTGCATTTCTGTAAGCATGTATATACCATTATAGGACTTAAGCTTTTCCTAATATCTTGTTACTGAAATTCTCAGTAAAACCTAGCATAAGACAACAATGTATCAAATGTCTAGAAATACTTCAGGATTTATGGAGCTTTATTAAGCATACTGTATGCCTATACAGAGGAAAAATGAAAGCTTTCTGACATACTACTAATTTCCAAAAAACTTCACAAACATTCATTGCGCTTCTACTAACAGTCAGTGAAGCATGTGGAAAAAAACTATGACAGAGGCTATCTCTTGTCATGAAAAAATTCCTGTATCACTTAAACAAAACAAGTGCAATGCAGAAGTGCTGTTTTGGGGAAGACATGGTACAGAGTATAAATAATGAAAAGAGAGGAAAATGATGAACTGTGACATGTGGGTCTTGAAACATGAAAAGAAAGGTACCTAATTGGCAAGGTCTTTTCACATGGGAAGAGGCATAGTTGATGGCTTGGCAGAGAGATGGGCTTAAATCAGAAGAGTTTGAAGTAAGGTTGATTAGTACTTATAAGTAGTCTTGCGAGGATGAAAATGTATACTCAGGCTAGGAAAATGATGAAGAGATTTTAGAGGGTCAGAGACCCAATATCAATTTAGACAAATTGAAGAGTGCAGGCAGGGAGAAGCAGGTTGATAAACCAGGGAAGTTACCGCAACTGATCTGAAAATGAGCTAACACTGAAGTCAGCGATAAAATCGTTGTTTTTAGAGATAAAAAGAGGAAGAAGCAACAGAAATGTGGGCTAGATATAGTAAAAGACTTAAGCAGCAACAGTTCCACTACTGTGACATGTAACAGTTAGGTGCCCAGTCCCTAGAGTGAAATTAAAAACTGGGAACTGAACACCTATACTCCTAGTACAGTTCCTGAGGGGAGTTAAGTGCTTTGAGAAGGCAATTGAAATGTGTTTGTGTTGATCAAGGAGTTTCCTCTAATTCGTCACTAAGAAATACAAGCATATCCTTGTAAAAACTCCTGTTTTTACAAGATGCCTAATTCGGTGACGGCTGCTTATAGCGGGTGCCTAAGAGTGAAGCTTCAGTCACACTCACTCCTCTTTTTTTGCACCAGGAAGGCTCCATGTACTTTAGTCCTTGAGTCACACTTGCAGACGAGTGCGTCCTTTCACCTGGAGCCTGGAATCCATTCCCGAGAGCAGGCAGCTGCAGCTTTTCTGTAAAGGAACTGTGTGAGACATTCACTGACTGGATTTCAGTGGTCTCCCTTTGTAGTCACCTTTTGTTTAGTAGGCTAATGGCTAGACACTTGTCCAGCAAATGGGAAGCTTGGGATCTAGACATTCTTCAGCCTGGGTACAAACCAATGTCCCGGTTTTGAGGACAATGTCCTAAATGTCAGTCTGGAGGCTGGAAACACATGGGATCATAACTTACCCATTCTTTAATGCTGGTTCACTTAAGCTGTGCAAGAAATGCAAAGTTCTTGGTGGTAAGAAGCAAGAACATGCAACTGAATTCAACTGTAGCCTATAGACTGTTTCACTTGATTGAGACTCAGTCCTGCCCATACTTATCAGAGAGAGACATGCTGAAAAATGAGGCACTACACTATCTACCTACTGTATATGTGGTTGGCTGTTAGACAAAATGTAATTGGTAACGTCTTCAAAATTTTCAAGCTGACAGTAAAGTTGCTTATTGATTGTCATGTCCTTGGGAAAGTGTTGTGCATAAATCAAAACTACCTCTTTTCACCTCTTCCCTGAATATATACATTAATTTCTACATGTAGCCTTTAAAAAAAAAGAAAAAGAAAAAAAGAAGGGAAATACAGGGAATTCAAGGAAATGTCACTGAGGGAAATTGTATTGTAGTTATGGACTGATATGCGCAGAAGTGAAGGATAGGAGGGTGATCAAAACCAAATTTGAACATTGCATTTCAACTGCCTGGAAATCCAAGAAGAGTCATTAGAGACATTGTTAAGACATGAGGCTCAAAAGTTTAAATAATAAGTACAAAATAATACTATGCATGAAAATGTTCTCTTACTGCTCTTCTATGTCAAAGAATTAATAAAAGAAGTATTGGTATTACCTCTTCTAAATTACTATGTTGAAAATTGGAATACATGCAAAGCAACTAACAATCATTTCTGATCCATCATGAGAGCTTCCCACATGTAAATTTAGAGACCTAATCTAGCTGCTCTGACTCCTGAGAAATCCCACTTTTTCAGAAGTAAAAGTAGATGTACGGAAAATAGGATTTGGCACTTAGCCTTTCTCTTTTTGGGCCTTTTATATATTCAGTTGGAAATATTTTATTAGTGATGAAATAAATAATATACTTTAAAAATACTTGTTTAAGTTTTATGAAACTAAGATAAAACTGTAAGTTCCCATAATGAATATAATTAAGTGTTCATACTGCATCTGCATTATTTGTAAAAATGAGTGTATTTTATAAAAGAAGCACAGCCCAGTTCAAATCTGAAACCCCACAAATACCTCAGTGCACTGTTAATGACTCTAGTTAACATTACAGAAGTTCTCCGAGCAACCAGTCCTCCTCCAGTGACCCAGGACCCAGCGGGAGCAGCCAATGGAGACAGCAAGTGGGATATGATGGGTATTGGTGATTTTTTCTTTTTCTTTTTTTTTTTTTTAAATCTTGCTATAGCTCCCATGCATCTTCTTTCTGAAGCAAAATTTATGTGGGCATTCCATATCGTAGATTTATTTGCAAAATCTGTTAGTATATTTTAAGACGTACGGGTTTACTGATCTTTAATGTAACATTTATGCCAATACAATTTTAAAGCCATACTGCTTTAAGTCTTTAGGACCAAATTGTTATTTTACAATTCAGGTAAATAACAAACAGTTCTTAGGTTTACTTTCCCAGAAACAGGCCAGAAATCAGCTAGTAACTCAGAACTGGAATAAAATAATAATTTCTCCTCCTTTTGCTTCAGTGGAAGGGTATCTGATTAAAAAAATATCTTTATGGTCTTCAGAGGTTTTATTTCCTACTGTGCTTGTTCCAGCGACATCCATTCCCCAGCACCTCTCCTCAGAAAAGTAGCACTCTTTCAGAGGTCTCTTCTCCCTAAAAGGCTGTTGCGGTATATAGATGGTTCTTTTCACATCCCTGTTAATCCCTTGGTGCTGAAGTTTCAGAAGTTAGCTATCTGTGTATAAAAGACCACCCCAATATACTGTCCATGTTATAAGAATATTATGCGAGACATCTGTTCTAAATTACTTTAAATTTATCACTTTGTTGTATAAATATAGCTGCCGAAAACACTCCTGTTATAAAATGTTGAGCTATGTCAGTATCTACATAGCATAATAGGAAAGCATTCCAGACTTGCCACTTGGCTTTCAGAAGCTACTTTTCAGAAAAAATGTGAATATTGAAAACATCAGCTTGACTCCTTGTCTGTAAGCTTAATATTGCTTTGGCATGACTGTTTGTGGAGAAGATATTCCATGTAGCAGATACATACGCAATATCTTGGAGACTCCTCAGGGAATTTCAGAATACTCACTGAAATCTCTGGCAGCTAAATAGATGCTAATAATTCAAATAAATCTATAGCAATTTTTTTGACAGTAGACACATGAAAATGCATCTTGCCTCATTTTGCCAGCACAGTTATTTCTAATAGCAACCTTATTTTTAGTGTGTCGCTTTGTGAAATAATTTAACTTCTGCAATACAATACAAAGCAATGGATCTGGTACTAGCTTACATGTTCTGAGTGTGAAAACCTGCGAAACTACAGAGTTACTTTCTGTGGGACTTAGTTCATAAAGCCGTTAAGCATGCATTACCATAGTTCTCCATTGCAAAAACCTTTGGCTATATAGCCCCGAGAATGCATTTCTTCTTAAAGTTCAGTGTTGTCTTGGCCTGTTCACACTTAAGACATAACAGTGTGCTGTCGAAAAAATTACATGTAAATATTTCCATGGAATGTTTGGAAATGTTACTATATTTGTGTGGTGGAGGGGGATGATGATTGTTTAAACAAATCACAAAATACTTGCTTTGAAGAGTAAAAAGGTGGTGTTGTTCATCATGTAACTAGTTTTCTAGGAAAAAAAACCAAACAGCTTAATTTTCTGCTTATGTTAAAAGGTGCCAGTCCCCTTTGCTCCATGAACACCACCAAGGTTCAGGCTCACTGGAGTGTGAAGGAGGCAGAGAACGAGAGGAAACTTTGGAAGGAGCTAGACATTCTGGTAATAAAAACCACTGTATCTTAAAAATAAATATTCTTCGCAATGCAGTGCCTGTTGAAGTGCAGCCACCTTCTGATGGGGAGGTTTGATACACAAAGAGCATGTGATATGACAGTGAAAGCAGGGACTCTTACAGGCGGTCTAACAGAATATGGTGCGGGATATTTAGATAATACTTGGAACAAACTACTCCGGAACTTCAGAAAGCCTCATGAATGGTGAAAAGCAGGTTGAACTTCATTTAATTATCATTGAAAAACTAGTTCTTAGGAAATTCTGCAAAGATACATGCCTCTGATTCCAAAGAGTGTACAGGTTTGAAACCTGATGCTAAGCCATATGCCTTTTTTCTTTGTACAGTATACTCATCTTTTTAGCATTCAGAAATTAAAACACAATTATTTATGGCAGAAACCAAGTGGCACGCACCATCGACCAAAGTCCTCAGCTCCTACAAAGACCGGGCTTTACAGAAAGAAGGCAGTGGCAAGGAGTCGCCAAACAAACTTTCACATGTAAGTCTTTTACTAAAAAACAAAACAAAAAAAACCCACCTTGGACTTAAAGAAATATATCTTAAAAATACATTTTAGTAATTTATGAAGACCACTGTGTGTTTTGGGAGGCAAAGAGTATGCTCATCTAGATTTGGGGTGAATTGAGTATGCTTAGTCTGTGTTTATAAACTAAGAACTCCAAGAGGGCTTGGGTCTGGGGCGCTGAGGAGATAAAACTAGTATAGCATACACTCAGCTGTGTATTTACAGCTTCATTTATACTGGCTTGCTTAATCTGTGAGGTATTTCATATCCTTTAAAAAAACAAAACATTATATTCACCATACCACTTGTCATGTTGTGTGAAATACCCATGTAGTATAACTATCAATAAGCACTATATAGTGCACAAAAGCACAAAAATATAGTTTGTATGTTGGGAATGCTGAACAGATTTCTAGTCTACCTAGTTTAGCAGCTTGTCTTCAGTAATGGCAAAATCTTCAATGACTTAAAGATGGAAAGTACACTAATGATATGCACGGTCTTTTTCTTTTTTTTTTGTTTGTTACATGGAAAAACCTGCTATGTGTAGTAGGAATCTGTACACTATTTGTAGATTTATATGGTAAGAATATGAGGCCAGTTTCTCATCTTAGGTACATTGATACCTTATGAGAATCTAGCTTGATACTTCTTGAAAAAAGTACTATCATAAACAGAATCATGCTGTAGAATTATGCCCATGAAGACAAAAATACTTTCTTTCACCTTAAGCCGAAGTTGACAGGAAGCTAGAATCAGTATATGTAACAATCATTATTAAACACAGCACTGATACCAAAGTTAAATGCTGAGTTTGCTTAATTTATGCTAATGGCAGCTCTCATGCTTTTAGGATGGTGGGGATCTGAACGGAAAATTTCATAATGGGCATATGTTTGTGTTTGCTTGCCATATGCATGTGTAGTGCAGGTGCAAAATAACTATATTGTACAAAGTAAGAACCAGCATTATTATAAAGGTAATACTAATAAAATGAGGCTATTTTGTTAGATGCTGTAAAACAGAAAAAAATGGTCATCACCTTGTAAAAGACCTTGTAATGTTCTGTTGTACGTCCCCTTTTTCTTCAGCTCAATTTGCCATACGACACTGCCAGCCAGAGAAACGTCTATGCTGTCTTTTTATCGGTTTTAAGTTGGGGGAAGGACAGTGGGGGGAATTTCACTGGCTATCTTCACACTGTCTTTGTTCTCCTGGAAGAAATATCATATTCCTGCTATTTATTTATTTATTTATTTATTAAATCTTGCTCCATGGCATAATCTTTAACAACATGTAACAATTAGGGCCATGCTGAGCTTTCATACAATAATTTCTCTTGGCACAAGGAAATGCATAAAATGTTCCTAAGCTGTGGCCATAGTGAACTTTGAGCAGTTCAAGATGTCTATATCAATAGCTGTTGTCCAGATTCTCTGCTGCTTACAGGGTCAAGAAGGTGCCTAAGCGAAGAAGTTGCCTTCAGCAACATACAGGAAATTTTTGAGAAGGTTCATACGTGCAATACATCTTCTGAGGCTAATTTTATGCCTCTGAGCTTCTCCCCCCTGCCCCCACCCCCCCACCCCTTGTTTCTTTCCACTTTGGTTCCATTTCACATTTACAGTAAGAAGTGACATGCCTTTTCTCCAGACACCTTTCTCCAAGTCCCTCTCCTTGGAAAAACTGCTCATTGTATTTTTATCAATTGTTCCATTGTTTTTAAGGTGACAGCCATCTTGTAAAGGTTAGAATGAATACAAATGTAACCCCTCCTTTTTTTCTAAAAAAAATGTCTCAAATTTTGAGCCTTGTTCATTTCCGTATGGAATAGAAGTCTCGTTTCTGGAAAGGCTGCCTTGTCTAACTGCTTTAATGTGTGAGCAACAGCTGTGTTTATATACATCTGCTAGGAGGGGGATCTCGTAAAAAAGTTAGTCACCCTTCCCACTTACATTCTACCTAATAGAAGTCCATCTGCCCTTATTGTGGCCTGTCCTTATTCTGGCTACTCTGTCACATAGGTAGGTTAATCCAACTGTCTACAAAATCTCTTTTATAAAAAACAACAAACCCCCCCAACAAATGCCTGACATAATTATTCCACTTCAATAGCTATGCTTAGCTTAGGGCCCCGTGACTTCAGTTACTTTCATCTGGTACGCATACATCGCAATTGACTTCAATTTAACTAGCCACACATCCAATTGGATTTGATCCAATAAGCTGCATATTTCACCCACACTGAGAAAAAGCCAAGCATAATTCAGTCTTTGGTGTTTTTCAGATTTGCAGTAGAACTTGTTTAAACAAATGATTACCAATGCTTCTAGCTTTAACAAACGCTTATTTTAACTGTTCAGAAATGCAATTTTATGGATGTTAAGCTGATCCTATAATCAGAAAATTCAAGTGTGATCTTAAGATTTGCCATAGAAGATGGAACTAGAGCCTTTTTATTTGCAGTGACATCAACCTTTAATGTGTCTAGCCAGTTGTGCAACTCATTTCATAGAAACTGGTGGTATAATTAGCTCTTTTCATACTTTGCACTTATAGCATACTGTAAAAATAATAAAATGGTCTCTGAATGGCACAAATTCAGTAATTTATATGAAAACAAGTATTTCACTACTTAGCTTGAGGGGGGTCTTTTTTTGTTTGTTTTCTTCTTGTTAAGATTGGAGACAAAAGCTGTTCAAGCCACTCAAGCAGCAACACCCTATCCAGTAATACATCCAGCAACAGTGATGAAAAACACTTTGGTTCTGGAGATCTGATGGATCCTGAGCTGCTTGGATTAACATATATAAAGGGGGCTTCTACTGACAGTGGAATTGATACAGCTCCCTGCATGCCTGCTCCTCTTCTGGCCCCTTTGCACCTTGCTGGCAGCAGGTCTGGAGTACATTGTCGTACTGAGCAGTGGACCGAGTCTTCTGAAACTCCTGGGCCAGATGATGATCCAGCTAAAATCTATGCTGTTCATAGCTATGCCTCTGCTATTTCTACCAGTCATACAGCTGAAGGCAGTATGGGAGACCTAAGTGAAATCTCCTCTCATTCCAGGTATGTGTTTCTTACAAATTAGGCATTATGGATTATAGATTAACATACAGAGAACTCTTTTTCATTGTTGTTCTGTTTACCTTTCTTTGAAAGTGCATTCAAGTGATTTTGATTTTCTGTTGTATTTAAATGCCTATATGAGCAATTTTCAGGCAATTTTTGATGAGTCTGCCTAAAAAGCATAGCTAGCATAGCTAGCCCTACTCCCAGATCTGACTTTATATGTGACCTTGTGCACATTGCTTAGGTTTTTAAAGTTGGGAGACATCCCCGAGTAAAAGTGAAGTTTGCACCTAGAACTGATTTCACATACTTTTTTTTTTTTTTTTTAGTACAGCGCAACAAATTAGCTGGGAGCTAATGCTGAGGGAAGTAAAAAAAAAATGGCAACGGACAACTTCTACATATAGTGGTGGACAATTTTTACATATAGTGAAACTGCATTGCATACCATCTCCCTAATTCACATTACTGTGATGTATGCTTTACAATTTCGTTTGTTGAACTGAATTTCTGGTTGATTTTCAGCTCTTCTTGTTGTTACCAATGGAATGTGTGCATGGTATATCTGTTGTAAAGCAAACTTTGAAAGTACACTTTTACAGCTGGTTGCCTTTATCTCCCAATTCCCATTTTATGGTGACTTTGAAGTTGAAGCTTTGGTCTATGTGTTAAGGTTTTTACTCTGTAAAGGATGGAAGGAAATTGTTTGTTCTTTCCCTCTGATTTTCCTGTTTTCAATGTCAATCAGTACAGGAAAATAACCAAATAATATCTTGTATCCTCATTTCTTTATATGCTTGACATGAGTGAATTAGTCTTGTATACTTACTCTGACTTCTAGATTTTTTTTCACAAGTTATAGAAGATAGTATAGACTATTGTATAGACTATTGTGAAAATTTGGTAAATGCTTTCACATTAAGCTTTCACTACCCCTGTGATAATGCAGAAGCTCCAGATCTACTCTGTGTTGTGTGTGTTGAGATTTATATATTGAGACTTCTAAAGTGCTAGAAATAAGCTCTGTGTTTCTAGGACTTAATCATAATGAGCTGAAATAGCTTTCTAATGGCTAGAATATGTATTCTCAGCACTTGTGTGACAGCTGTCATATTTAAAGTGCTAGGCAGCATTAAATGATCTGCTGCTCACTTCTATGGAATAAACATTTTATGGATTAATTAAAACTTCGGGGGGAAAAAAAAAGCTTATAGATTTTAAGTGAGTTTACCTAGGCATTTCCAAAGCAGTAAATATTGTTGAGATGACCACTCACATCAGGATAGCCCAATTCCCCTTTGGCAATAGCTATGTTTTCAAATGATCACCTTCTAATTTGTGTGCCAAATCCTCTTCCTATAAGACAATGTCAGACTTACTTTATGTGACCCAACTGTTTTATTTAACCTTTGCTTACGTGTCCTTCAAATTGGGGTGATAAATAATTTCACAGTTGGGTTTAAAAGCTGGCATCGCCTATACATCACCCACAGGCATACATAATTAAAAATACCTCATTTTATAGCTGTGATGCTGCAACACTAACGTGTTCAAATAGACGTAAGAAAGTTGAGTTAACATATAAGCATGTGATATCTATTGCTGAATCCTATATATATTTTCCAACTGGTCAGACACTGAGTTTGTATTTCTTCATAACCTATAACAATGAAATTCTAACACTATTGAGGCATTAATTCACAATTATTTTACGAATGTTAAATAGTAAACTTGTTCTGCAGTAGCTAAACAGTATAAAGCTTCAAGAAACAAGCCCACAGACTGGTGGAATGTCATTGATCTATAAATGCAACATTTCTTTATTAAAATTGTATTCTGTTTACTGAATAGATAAAGTGCAATGCACAGGAAAGATGTTGGTTGGTTGAAAGATACCGGCCTGATTCTCAAACATCGTCAGATAAAGAACCCCCTGAAAAAAATAATACTATAGCATCCGAGTAAGATTTACAGAATTAAACCTGCTGTGGGAAACAGTATCTCAAACTACAAGACTGACTTGAGCTATGCACAACATTATGTCTCACAGCTCTGTTATTAATGGCTTTATCTCTCCTTTTTTATATTAATTATGCACATGAATTATCAAATACCTTCATGTTACTGTAGCTGAAACAGCTTAGCTTCATTGCCTTTAGTTTTGCTTTGTTTCTTACATAGAACATCTCTTGGATCCTAAAAATATATACTGCTTGTTCGAACCATTGCATTGAACTCGTTATCTAAAACCAGGCTTTCATAGGCATTTTATTTCTTCACTTCAAAAATATTCCCTTATTTAAAACCTACAGAATGAGGTTGGATGCTCAATTTTGCTTAAACTTAGTTACAAATAGAATTCTAAAATCCTCTGGATAATGTCCTTGCTGTTGATCTGATATGTATTTTACGTTGTGCTTCAATGTTTGCTTCATCTTTGGATTTCAATTTTTCATAACTGAGTTATTTTCTTCACCACATCTTCACATAATTTATTTGCATATTTGCAAGGATAGCAAGCAAAAAAGCTTTTAACATCACCCGCATTATTTTCTTCCCCCAAAACCTCATTATCTTGTTTCTACTTTTTGGGGAGGAAGAGGGAGGAGAGGAGAGAAAATAAATTGGTTTTAAGATTAAATGCACATACTAACTGTGATCAAAATTATTAATCCGTTGCCTTAATGATTCAAGTTTCTTCCACACTAGGCATTTTAATTTGATCTAATGACATCTATGCATGTGTATTGCTTGTATTTGACAAAGTAGCCATGTCTGTTACACTTTCAGCAACACCTTCTGGTCCTCTGTGAATTAATCCAACGCTCTTGGGATTAGATTAAAAGATAGCATTGTGTTTGGTATTCATAGATGTCGTGGTTTAACCTCAGTCGGCAACTAAGCACCACGCAGCCGCTCGCTCACTCCCCCCCACCCGGTGGGATGGGGGAGAGAATTGGAAAAGCACAAGTGAGAAAAACTCGTGGGTTGAGATAAAAACAGTTTAATAATTGAAATAAAATTATAATGATAATAATATGATAATAGTAATAATACACAAAGCAAGTGATGCACAGTACAATTGCTCACCACCCGCCGACCGATGCCCAGCCAGTCCCTGAGCAGCGGCCCCCCCGGCCAGCTTTCCCCAGTTTATGTACTGAGCATGACGTCACATGGTATGGAATGTCCCTTTGGCCAGTTTGGCTGTGCCCCCTCCCAGCTTCCTGTGCATCTGCAGCCTTCTCAGTCGGTAGAGCATGGAAAACTAGAAAGTCCTTGACTAGTGTAAGCACTACCTAGCAACAACTAAAACATCGGTGCCTTATCAATTTTGTTCCCATCCTAAATCCAAAACACAGCACTGTACCAGCTACTAGGAAGGAAATTAACTCTATCCCTGCTGAAACCAGGACAATAGACCAACAACGAAAGTTAGGAGCTGCTGCTTCAGGTTCCAGCCTCTGATTTTAGGCAAGGCACTTGTCTTCTGAATGCTTTGCTTACTTCACCTCCAAGATGAAAAGAAGAAATTTATTCTTCAAGGAGGTGTTTGCTTTAGTTCATTTTAAATCATTTTGAGAGTCTTCAGTAAAAGGTTTCATTAGTGCCTACTAATGCTATTATTCATAATAAAAGAGGCTATTAAAATTATCCAGAGGACTGTTTTTGTTGAACTGACATTTACTTCTGTTAATATTAAATTCTCAATGGTACTGAATGAAAGACACAGCTTAAACTGGCATGAACTGGCAAAACTAACATGAAGTGGAAAAGTGTGTAAGTTTCTATAATTAAAGAGATATTTGGGGTAATTCCCTGTGTAGTTCTTGATGTAAATGGAATTATACCATTAATAATGTGCACGTACATACTTAAAGTTGCACGCACAAATTCTATATATATGTCTTGAACTTAGTCTTTTAATTTTAATTCATATCAGTTTGCATCAGCATTTCATCAGGTTGAATTATATATATTACTTGTTTTAGAAACTCATCACAATTCTGTTCTCGAAGAGCTTTAATGTATACGCTGCTGGTGTGTAGAAAATTACTGTACCAATATTGCTACCTTGATTTTAACCTTGAGAAAAACTTAATGTTAAGAATTATAGCTGTATACCAGGCGAAGCGTTTCTGATTCGTTGTTATATAGCAGATTTCATTTTTTCTTTTGTGTGTTTTCTTTACTTTTTCAGTGGTTCACATCATTCAGGAAGCCCATCAACTCATAGCTCTAAAAAGAGTGGCTCCCTAGATACCTCCAAAGTCTATATAGTGTCGCAGAATAGTAGTCAACAGATTTCTGGGTCAGTTTCAAAACCATACCACAGACAAGGAGCAGTGAGTAAATATGTCATTGGATGGAAAAAATCAGAAGGAAGTCCTACACCTGAAGAATCTGAAGTTTCTGAATGCCATGAGTAAGAACTCTGTTTAACTTTGTTGGGGGAAGAAGGGTAATGAAAATAAATTCTAACATAGGATAGAAAAATGAAAAATTACAAATTCTGTTTCTCTTTTAAATGTTTGGGGTTTTTTCTGTGCTTTAATGTAACAAAGGTACATCCAAAAAAAAAAAAAAAGACAATAACTGGACAGGATACTGTTTTCTTCTCTGTTCTATCCAGCTGCATCTTTTTCCCATGTGTCAAATAAAGCAAGCTGACAGAAATTTCTGAAAGTGTGTGTAGGCAAAAACATACGGCTATGTCAGACATTCTGAATTTCCATTTTGAATCTCTAGGAAACAATTGGGAAGGTACTTTATTAAGTTCTTAAAGGCCTTTTCTACAAATCTTCAGGAACTTTAGTTAGTTGAAAAAAGCCTATTTCCTGGCGTTTCTGTATTGAATCTTACTACCTTGTTGCCTATTATGTCAGCTAATACATTACAGATGAGAGAGATGACCATACACTTATCAGTGATCTATGGTAGATAAATTAAAAAAATTAGTGCCAGTTGGGGGTATTTTAGTGGTTCTTTGGTATCTTTTTCTGACTTTGTTTTTAATGAACAGGTAGGAACTAGTGGTTACGACCCCACAAGAAAAAGATTAAATGTGGATATATCTGACCCTATCTTCACGAGACTCTACAAAATTTCTAGCAAGTGACATTTAGACAAAAATATTCAGAGCAGTTCTAACAAACAGCTATATGTACAGCTTAACACAGGAATAGCTCATGAGAAATGTGTTCTTAGGTGGAAGAAAAAGGCTTGCACTCAAAGGAAAAGATGCAGTATCTCAAATATAGATAGAGACGATACTTTCCCAGTGCTGCAGCAGTAATAAGTAATGTTTGAATCTGCTGTTTAGAACTAACCTTTAAATTCCTGTTATCTTCAAAATCATCTTCTCGGATAACCTCTTTGCTTTCTTTTTGTGCATAAGCTATTCAGTTTTATCTCTCCATAAATCATAGTCAGCCCAATATATCTCAATAAATTGACAAGATGACATGCAGTACCTGATTTTCAAATGTTTCATATGGGATTACTCTTTGTTTAATGGGAATGGGTTATTTGCATCTAATATCTCATATTGCGTATATGTGCATATTTATGGCAAGATCCATATTTAAATATATAAGCTAGAATACATGTGCTATGAAATATGAGCGTGAAGTTAAGCTCTCAAATTCCTAATTTTCAAAAGTAGAAGATGTTACTACCTTCCTGTCCTGGTAATTTGTGTTTTTTTGTGTTATTGTACTGGTGATTTCATTCTCCCCCCCCCCAATGTTTTAATTGCTTAAATTGTTCAGTCGTAGCAGTATTTGCACTTGAAAAGTGGTAATTTCATTGATTCCCACAAGTTTTTGCATTTTCAAGTTGATGAACTCCTGAAACAATTTCTCTTTATTTTGAATGGAACCCTTAAAACAAAATTGCACAATGAATCATGGTATTTAGACTGAAACCACAGCAATTTAGAAAAGTAGCTTCAAGAGCTAGTTCTATTTAAGAAATATTAGTTGAATATGGCAGCACTTCATATATCAGAAAATATTTTCAGATTTTTCCATGGCGTTACAGCATTGCTTCACCTCTTTCTCTCTAGGAAAGCTTTCTATACATCACAGAGAGGAAATATCTCTCTGAGGATAATTATGTTGAAATAAAATAACATCTCTAATTAGGAATGATGATGAAAATCAGGTCAATTGCTGAATGTTGTGCCACTATAGGATGTAATTCACTGAGTATTACACTTTACTGTAGCAAAGCTTGTTTCCCCTCTGCTGAAGACAAAGTCACTGATTATGCTGCACTTGGCAGTAAGTAATGGCTTCAAATGTATGTTCTGTGTGATTGGCAATCTCTAGTTCCTTCGATAGCATTTCTAGAGTAAACCTGTTAAAATTCCCTCTTCTTTCTCACTGTGAGGAAGCTGAAAGATAATAATTCAGTTTGACAGTCTTTTGTTGACTGTAAATACATTTTGATATGCTGATAATTAAGGAAGACAGCTGTTTTATTTATCTAAAGAGCTTTATGAAATTGCTGATAATAAAACACACTTGGCATACGGCACAATCAATTACCAATACACTTCAAACATTGCCATTGATGACCATAGTAATTTTGCCAGATTGTGAAGTGTGATACAATATCACACTATAAAATACTGATTTGCTTATTTGCTAAGGAAGTAAAAGTTAAAATATTTTGCGATGAACTATTGGAAATGTTGATATAAATACAGCTTTAACAATGTGTGTGTGTAAGCTTTAGTATGTAAGCTTTAACAAGTGTGTTGTGTAAAAAAGAGAGAGGCAAGCTAGGAAGAAACAAGCATTATGCTTTTTTAAATTGTTCTTTAGAATTCCTAAAATTGATTTTTCAGTGGTTTAAGAATTTTGTTTTGGACCCACAAACAGATTCATAAATATAACATGATCAAAAAAATGTTCTAAATGAGAGCGTGCTGTGTCAGGAGATAATTCTAACAATTTTTACTTTGTGACAGAAAATGAGTGCAGTCTTTCAAATCCAAGAGCACTATTGCTTCTCTTGCTAAAAACACCAATTGTCTCAACAGAGTGTATGATGATATTGATGCTGTGTCTGCATCGAGTCCACTCCAAACTTCTGTGAGGGATGCCATTGTTGAAAGCCAGCAAGTCTTGTCCAAAGAAGATTTTCTGAAGTTGATGCTGCCAGACAGCCTCTCTATGGAGGAGGGGAGAAGAAAGGTTAGCTACTTTCTTCGGCTCTGTGTATCTCAGACACAGTTACCTTAGAAATGAATTTCTGGTATTCCCAAAATTGCTATAGAGAAGGCAATATCATTTTGTACAAACTAAGTATATTCCATGGGGATGCTATAAATACTGACCATAAGTCCCAAAATATCATTTCCCACAGTATGAAAATGATATCTAGTTTGATGATTATGCATGAAACACAGTATTTGTTTAAGTATGTCTTTGCTTAGCTTGAGCAGAGACAGGTGCAGGTTGAGCAACTTACTTTTAATCTTTGAAATTATAATTAACATTTTCAAGGTTGGATGCCTAAATTTATACACCTCATATGATATTAAGGCACATGAATAAAAGTAGCCCGCTTTCCCTTGCCCTGTAATATTCAGTACCAACAATTCTGTTTGAAGTCTGAATCACGATTTCATGTAGGGATCAGTGGCAACTGCTCAAAAGGCATAATCGTCAGTACTAGTGGAGAGCTTGCATCTAATCTTTATAGTATGAAGACAATCGGTAATATTTAAAAGTTCACAAAAAGTGGATAGAGAACTTAAAATTTACTACTCCCCAAAGTATACATGATTCTGAATTCTGTGGTTAATGTGGAATAAAGCAAAAAGCAATTAAATTACTTGAGATAATTGTCACACTTCGATATTAACTCAATGCTCTCTTACCCCACTGTGTTTATACAATGTGCTAAATAGCATAATCGTCATGTCTGAACAAAAGTAGCACATGGGAATCCTCTAAGTGCAGAGCTGAATTTAAAATTCAGATCATATATATTTTTTAACATGCAGTATGTTAAGTATGCATTAGATGTGTTCGAATTCTCATGAATAATGTCCTAGAGGTTTTTATGATTTATGATTGATACAATAATCGGTTTTCTGTGATGATTTCAAGAGCTACCAATGTTTCTGGCTACCTGAATAAGACACAACAAGGAGTGAGGAGGTGTGGCCATCCTGAGATAAATCACTGCTGTCCCCTTCCCCTCCCAAGACAGCCAAACAAAAGCTCATTAAGTGACAGAGACCGTAGGCCCTGACTCACAGGGGATCCCCAGCCATAGGACTTGACAGTGTCCAGTCTTTGATTATGCCTTCATAGAGGATAGTAATCTTGGTATAGGTGAGTCAGTTGTCTTAGACAGCAAAGCCAGAAGGGAATTTGCTGAATATGTAAGACTCTACAGAATCAAATCACGTTTTTGGTTTGGTTTTACCTTCTTCTTACATCAGGGAATAATGAGCCCTGTAGGTAATATTTAATTTTTGTTTCACCCTGAAAGGAAAGACTGTAAAGCTCCAACGGTTAACATTCAACATGTTTGGATAGCTAGTGAACAACCTTCATAGGTAGAACATGCAGTGTAAGGTTGAGGAGACTTGAGTAACAGCCCAAAATTGCAACAGGATGGTTGCTGGGAAACTTGGGTGCGGGAAAGAGGATCGGAGACCCTTCAATTCAGAGGGTGAAGGCTTTTAACCCTTTGCCCAATGTGGTCCCTAATTAGGCTCAGGGTCTTTTCATATTCTTTAACTACTGCTTGTAGAAGGATATCATATAGCATTCATTTAAGGATGCTGTGTATGTCCTCTATCCATTCATTTAGAGATGCTGCTTATGTTTATTGTTGTGATCGTTTTCGTGTGTGTTAAAATAAAGTTTTGTGCGATGTTTATTCCCATGGCCCATATCTGTTTCAGGCAAATCTCTAGAACCGATGTAGTATTTTGATGCTTTCCTAGATTAGAATCTGAATATCTCCCTCAATTTTCTCTGGGACACAGTTAAACATTCTAACCACTGAGCATATTCTGTATTGTCATCAAGATAGATGCTTTCCTGAACTAGCACTGTGAAGTGTATTTAAATATTTTGTAAAGACTGTGTCTTGTGGCATGATTGTTTCTGTGTATTCCTTTTAGAAGTATTCATCAGTGAGCAAGTTTTGTCAGAAGTATAACAACGTAGATATCTTTAATTCCATGCTATATTCACTGTTTTAAAAAGTTACTGCTCTTAAGCGTACATTCTGCATAGGGAGTGTGCAACTCATAATTAATTACAAAGAAAACAGGACAGGACATTAAATTGTTATATGCAGGACAAACCTGTTAAAATAATTAAGGCAATAACTGACATTTGTAGATGTGAAGAATAACTGGATTTGCAGTGCTGAAGAATGACTTACGAAGTGGAATGGCCCAGCTTTGCAATACAGTAACATCTTGTTTTATTGTAGATAATTTGAGTTGTGGTTTAAGCAACTTTTTGAAATGCATAAAAAGTTTTCACTGAACTCCATTATCCTCTTTTCTAAGCCTATTTCATGATATCTGGAGAGATGCAGTGTCTCAAGTCACTTTCATCATCCAATGAATTATATTGCACCATATATCAGTTCAGAATGTTTAACATTAAAGCGTAGTCATTTCAAATTAAAATCAAACAGTTCTATGTATAGTCTTGAATAAATGTTGCCAGAGTTGGTAACCTTATATGTATTTCTGGAAACCACTGCTGTCATAAGGCTATGGAGGTTTCATTTAACATTTCAGAATTAATAAAACTATACAGTATCTGCTAAATTCATGGTGATATGTTCCAAAATATCAAGAGGAAGTATGAAAATCCAGCTCAGTAACTCTTTTGAGGCCCCAGTAGATCTGATATGGTGGAGCAAATCTCTGATCTTCTGTATTAGCTCAAGAATTCCAGACTGCCTGCCCAGAAGAATACTCCCAAGAACTGATGATAGGATATGATTATGTGAATTATTTTAACCAGTAATACCTGTTCTTATATCTTCATATTTTGATGTTTAGTTTTCATTTTATGGAAACCTTTCTCCACGGAGGACACTTTACCGTACCCTGTCCGATGAGAGTATATGTAGCAATCGAAGAGGATCTTCATATGCTAGCTCTCGAAGTTCAATGCTAGACCAGGCCTTGCCAAATGATATCTTATTCAGCACTACTCCACCGTATCACAGCACGTTGCCTCCCAGAATGAGCCTGACTCCTGGAATGGGAAATCTGAGAAGTAAGTGATTGTTGCCGTCATTGCTGAGTTTGGAATATTTGTAATAAACTCAAACAAATCACCAAATATTAAGTTAGATTTTACTTTTAAGGTGAAATTATGAAATGTCAAATCAGTGTTCTAGATATCCTAGTAAAAGCATATTTGGGCAGCAGTACATGCTTATGCTTGCCTTAGTGACCAATTCAGATTTATCATCTTTGGAGATAGCATTCACTTTACTTCCCAAAAAATTTTCATGAGGTCGGTGATAGGCAACAAACATTTGTCTGAAGATATTTCTTGTTAGCATTTTCTTTTCCAGTGGTGACCTAATTAAGCCAAGCTGGCCTGTTTTATTTTAATATTTTTATTTGTTTATTTTTTGTGTGCATTTGAATTACTGAAATAGTCACGAATAATTCAAAATACTAACTAAACAGGACAGCTTCTATTTAGATGATTCTTTTGGTAACATCTTAAAAGGAAATGTGCAATAGTTGTTGTCATCTCCAATTTCAAAACCGAATTTGCTGATATGTTTTTTTCACATGTTAGTAGAACCTTTGCAAATAACACTTTATTTTTAACGGCAGAAAAAGAGAAGTCTGGGGTGCTAAATTAAAACTATTTTATGAAGGTGTCTCTTTACTTGTGAGGTCTTCATAAGCAAGATCTTTATTATATGCTTACCTTGCAATAATTCCAATATAGAGTGATGAACTATAAAGTTTGTAGTAATTTTGTGGAAAAATGGAATGAAAATTATGAAAATTACAAAAAAAAAAAGGAAATTGTGAAAAATATATATGCTTATATACCACAGCCCAAATCTACACAGCCAAATACATATATTTAGGCTACATACCCATTTTTATATATTTAGTAAGAGTGAATTTTTTTTTTAAAAATGCTAAATCTCTTCACTTCTCAGTTATTTTAGGCTGACCTATAGGGGACACCCAATCTAGAAAAGAAAAAAAAAGGCACTTTTAGTTAGCTACTTTAATATTGCATCACAGCTGACTGCAATTTAAAAAAATAGTAGAGCAACTGTGGACTCTGAAGTCCATAGTTAAGAAGCTGTGGGTGGATTTCTTGAAAGCATTAAGGACTTTTGTAGGCACATGTCCACAGAGAATGCAGACAGATGACTCAAAAGAAATAGTAATAAAAAGGGCTTTGTCATTCATCGTGTCCTTCAGGAACTAGCAGTCACTTGCTAACTTTCTAACTTTCAGAAGTAAGCCTTATATACAAAACATTTTTCTAGTTATAGTGGCCTTAGCTATGTGACTGGGTTTTAGTCACTAACCACTGGTTAATTTTAAACTGGTATCACGAACAAGTGCTAAATTCCTGCTTCAGATGGGAATGCATGCTTGGTGTACATTTTGCCGTTCTAAAAATGCTCTTCTGTCAGAGTGAAACTCTTTACTATAAATTTAATATGAAAAGATCCTTTGCTTTTACTGATAGAGAATGAAGACTCATTTTGTTTCATTTGAGACTAATTCAGTAGATTTTGTAGTCTATGAAGGGGCTATGTATATAGTCAGGCATCCGGATTGTATTTTTTTCTTCTACTATGTTAGGCCTGTGTTTTTAGAGCCATTTCTTGTAAAGGTAAATGTGCAATGGGATCAAACCTTCAGCGTGCTTTTATTCTGGAGATTGACACAAGGCAATTAATGGTGTACACTCAAGCTGCATACTGCTCCTCCAGCAGTGAAATTTTAGTGTTTTGTGTATTGGTTCTGTCTTAAACACCTTATTTTCCGTTCTTGCTGCTTCTTAGATACAGAAATTTATTTATACACATAGCTGGGAAAAAACATGAAACTAGTATCCTGTCAGTCAAAATGAAGCTGATTGTTGATATCCAAGGTACTTCATGCTATTTTCATATACAGCCTCTATTTTCCGCTTCTGATTTTGTATTATAAAAGTGCCTTTCAGTGCCAGCAATATAGGATCTTTTATGATGGCTGTTTCAAGGAAGATTTAATTGGTTATCTGTAATTACACTCTGAAAACAAACATATCATGACTTGCCCTGCTTTGTTTTCAAAATAAGGTTAGTCAGTATCTCCATATAAGAAACTAACTTTGGCTCTTGTTAGGAAGCTTTTTGGTTATCAGTGCATAGCAGGTATTTACATTCTATAGCAGTGGTGACGTGAGAAGTTTCTTTTTCATTTATAATTTTAGCTTGAGGTTGTAGTTTCAGATATCAGGATTCTTTGCTGTCACAGTAATGTCTTCTGTAAAATACATATGTTTGTGATCTTAAAACATTTTAATTTTACTGATATTTAATGGTTACGGAAATCAGTGGAAATAGTGTGGCTTTGGCTGGAATTCATTTTAGAAAGATACGTTCTTGCATGTTATTACCCAGCATGTGGTACATGAAATATTGTAGCAGCACCAAGACTTGCGAGATCCCTCTAGCAAGGAAAAGAGTGTGATTAATAGGTAAGCAAGGCAGCACCAAAACCAAAGCATAATAGGCAACCTGAAAGGTTTCCTTTTACTGGGAAATCGGAATTCTCAGACAGAACGACCATGCAAATATGGAAACAGAAGCTTCAACTGTGTGCGATGTTGACTGTGGGAAGGAGATGAGAAGATGAAGCTATAGGATTTTTTTATTATTTTATCACTGGGGGAAGTGAAGTGAAAGAAGAGTTGCTTTCAGTAAAGCCTGAAATGCAAGCTCTGACAGTTGAGTGCTGTTGATTGCCCACAGTACACAAATGTGGAAAGATTTATTTCATTTTATCTTATTTTTAACTTAAACCAGAAAGCAGAACTCGTGTAGCTGAGAACTCTGGAATTTTATCTTGGGGACATTAAAGATTCCCTAACTGAGACAGTGCTGTTCACATTGAGTGATTCTAGCATGCCATACATGGTTGCAGGTACAAATCTATCCCTGTCTTGCAAATTCATGGCAGCTGAACTAGCAGGGAAAGAATGAAAACAATGAGAACCACTGGCACAGAACTAGTGTACTAACACAAGTAGGAGACCCAGAAAGACACATGGAGGCAGTCTGACTGACATTGCAGGCACCGTGGTCCTCTCCTATTATGAAACACAAAAAGAAAGGGGAAAGAAAAATGCCCTAAGTGATAATACTGGCGTGACATTCCTGAGCTGTGAGGAAAGGAGCAAGGTGCAGGATATTTGCAGTGAAGAGGAAGGGAATATTTTGCAATGATACACTAACAAATTCTGAAAGTTCTCAGATTATACATGCCATAGGGAAAAGGCTGCCGGAAGTGCGGCTGATATATCTGCAATGATGTTATTAGATGAAAGTCTGTCTTAAAACTGGCTTACTACCAGCACTAGCTTCAATCCAAAACTAACCTGATTGATAAGAAGCAGTATTAAAATGGAAGAGCATCACTGTGTGTTGATGATGTACAACGTGAACAATTTGGAAATCAGTTTTTCAGTAAGCAAATAAAGGCTGTTGATTAAATAATTCACGCAACCAAAGGAGTATATATGTTGTCTGTTAGACTCTCACACAGTAAATAATCCACCATACCAGAACATGAGACTATTTTCTATAACAAAAGGGAAGGGAGAAGTAGTTCCTGGCAACATATGTCCACTATTCTAACAGTAATGTGAGCATATGTCCATGAGAAAGTCTACTAGCAGGCTGGCATCTTTGAAGGGAGACTTTGGGCCACCCTAGGTAATACTGAAGAAAGGAAGGGTTCGGCAGGAAGAAGCTGTTGTTTAAGAGGACCATAGAGATATAATTTGTGATTGCAGGAAAGAAGAACAGGAAGCAGACAATGGGATTTATGTCTGCGTATGACTTGGTATGTTCCTTCAGCTGCAGCATCTTTTGAGATAATCTACTTGTTAAATGACATGTCTAGTTTGAGCACAGTAAGTGAGGAGTACTTAGATATTTTTTCATGATCTACAGTCTCTACTGTAAAGTAGCAGTTCCAACTGAAGCAGGATACTTGTCTTGGAAGTAGAAAAGGTTGTCAGGCAAATCTTTCTTCTTTCAGTATAACTAGTTAATCTTTGAATACAGAGGTATGTGGGACTGATGACAGTCAATTTGAGGAGCTCTGTTGGAAACTGAACTGACCATATAATTTTGGTGAAGATAAGGACTCTTCAAAATGCTTTATATTTTTATGTATCAATAATAAAAATAAAGAAAATTCCTAAGTGTAGGAAGAGAGTGGCGTAACTGAAAGGACGAGAAACCACACGATCAATGATTTTGTCCCAAAAGGAGTACAGCAAATAAAATAATCTTTAAATCTGAAAGATCACACTTACATTGTTTCCTCAAAGGAAATAAGGGGTAAGTCTGTGTTGCTTCAAAACTAATCGTGTGGGCAATGAAGACAGTGGCCTACGAGATTAGGCATATCCTCCTGGACACGCAGAGTCCAGAACAGCAGACAGCCTGCAGCTGCTACTGCGGCAGTCGTACAGAGAAAAAGTGGAGGTAACAGCGAGGTAAGAGGAGCAGGGAGGAAATGCAAATACAGGAGGCTAGAAATAATTCATCTCACCCAGAGCATTCCTGAAATACAAACAATATTCTCTGAAATTCAAAAGCACAGAGGCCTATATTACTAGAGCTCTTTTTTTTTCTTTTTTTTTCTTTCCTCTCCCCCTGCCCCCTCCCTTGCCCCCATTGCACAAGAACACGTAATTTATATCTTGAAAATGAATTATTCTGTGCTGGCATACTCATGCCTGTTCAGTTATTCCGCTTATAATTTCAGCCATCAGCATGAGCAATTGTGTTTTCAGAGCTATCAATATTCAGATCTCTACTCTGGCAGGCTTTCTGCAGTTGAGTTGCTCTGGCAGGCTTTATGCAGGACCGAATAGGATCCACCCTAAGGTGAACTGAAGTTCTCACAAAGACAATGCATAATGAAGGATGAGTACTGGTGCATATACCCCTCCTACACTTTAATTTGGAAAGCCAGCAGAATCACACTGGGAACAGGCATCTTCCCGACAGGTTTCACGACCAGCCTCTGTAGGCTGATCACACAAAAGCAAGGGCTGTCCCTTAGGGCCTGCCTGCTGGTCTAGAACCAAAAGCTGGCTTGCCAGCCTTTCAGATAAGGCATTCTGTCTATTTTCCACAACAGGGATGTATAAAATATTTGAACTTGCATAAATGAGGTTCTTACAATTCCCAGGTCGTATACAAAAGTTCAGAGACTCCTCTGATGTTGAGCTTCAAATGTATTTGGTAACCTTAGATAAGATTTTATGTCTGTTTATACCGAACTGAAAATAAAATCTTAGTACAGATGTATGGGTAGAATATATTTGTATATTACATTTTCCATTTCATATAACATCCACTTTTGCATACTAAGAGCGGGTATTGAGAAAGATGTTTCTACAGAGGTTTGTCAAGCCACTTCCAATTGTAATATAAGAATACTGCATCTTTCATATAAGTTGTAGAACAAGATAAATTCCACAGTAAACAGGATTTCTACCTCTTCTGCATTGTTTTTGCTTTGTAGGACTCCTAATTTTTGACAGAGGATTGTAAACCTCCTTCACTTTCCTGTTCCTGACTTCTTTTTTTTAAAGAAGCTTTCTGCAAAGAATATGTTATACTCTAATCATTGCTCCGTGCAGTAGAATGCTCTCTAACAGGCCACTGCTTTTGGATTTTTAGGTCAGAAATCTTTAATTCAAATGGACTTTGGTATTCTTTTTCATTGGTATCAGGACAATGACAACATGCCATTTTCTTAAACTATAATGTATCTTATCTTCCACTTGTATGTGTGCATTTTTTCCGTCATTGATTTTTGTGTTTGATGTTTTCCTGGAAAAAATATTCCTCATAAATATTATAGTCTGAATCACTGGAATAACTAGATGGCAATTTCCTTCTGAAATATTTGAGGAAAAATTACTATTTTGACCTTTTTGTTTAATAGAAGTAGATACATCTGAAGCAAAATTTCTTTTTTCCTGACTACGCTACGTAATAAAAGTACAGTATTGTATCACTAGCTTTATGGTTAAGATGAAATGTGATTACAAATAACGTATTTGGTTTATGTTCAGTTTTAAGAACCTCTGTGTGCCTGTTCAACAGTATTCATTTTAATCTGTTCACATTGATCAGAGTGAAGATTGCTATGGATAATAAAGAAAATGTAAAACTATTTAAGATAATTATGAAAATTAGCATCTGCTCTACGAAGACGTATGTTCATGGTATCTCTCTAAAAGTGCATAACTGAAAGCTGTGTTTGAACTAACTTTATAGTGTCTACATTTCAATTAATACACAATCTATCTACAGTATACAATGTGTTACAGCTCACTCTGGAGCTTAGAGATCGGCATACAAGTCTTACATCCTCGGATATACAGCTACAAATATTAAACTAATAGGGTAGTATTTTCGGTGTGAAAGTGAGTTTTGGATGTAGGCTAGAATTTACAAATGCATTAAAAGAAAAGCAGGTGATACTTTTTAAAATTGCTTCTGGAACTGAAGTATTTAAGTTTCAGGATAAACTCTGCATGTAAATATCTCGTATGTTGTTTCGTAGCCTTCTTAAAAATATAACTTTGTGTATCTAGCAACTTTTCTGCTCAGTGCTCAGGTTTAATATGGTATGCTTTAAGAATGGATGCTGCCTACTCACACAGCATTCACGTGAAAATGCGAAGAACACATCATGTGCAAAGCAGCACAAAAAAACCCTTTAGAAACCCTTCCCATCTTATTCTGCCGAAGTTTAAAAATTGTTCCACCCATACTGAGTATTGAACAGGAAAAGACAGAAACAAGAGAAATGAAGATAAGCACTCTGCTTATACGTTTTTTACAGTTCATTATAATAGCTTCAAAATTAATTGTACGTCATTGTTATAGGAAGACTAATTATTGTGTTTATTGTTTAGATGAATTCTGGTTCTCAGATGGGTCCTTATCTGATAAAGCCAAATTCAATGATCCTGGCCTGATGCCCCTGCCAGACACTGCCACAGGGCTAGACTGGTCCCACCTGGTAGATGCTGCACGAGCGTTTGAAGGTAACAGGAAAATTTGAATAAAGATCAATGTTCAGTACACAACTTCTTTTTAAAAATATATATTGTATAGCCGCATTTTGAATTACAAAAATCCAGTGTTTGCCTCCATAGCCCTTTAGTTCTTTTGGCAGTATCACTTCTCAATGCGGAAGATTGTCACTGAAAATGTGGGGTATTCATCATACTTTCAGTATCTATCTTAGATACAATTCATCCACTTAGGGGCCTAAGTTCCTTCTGTCATCAATTGGAAAAATCAGGTGCTTTGAAGCATTTAAGTTAGATGTTTAAAATGAAACTGGCAGTAACAGTTCCCTGAGTGTTTATAAACTTGTACGTGTGGTCCAAATGATGTTGCAATCCCTCGCAGTTTTCATAATAAGCCCTTGAAAACCAGCAAAAATGTACGCTATATTTTCCAGTAGCAGAACTCAAGGGGCAGGATATAGACCAGGTTTGCATTATTAAATTATAAGACCAGATTAACTAAGAAAAAACCTCATTCACCTCTGAGAGCTAAACCTACACATAATGTATAAACACAGAAAGGTGGGTGTTGGTTTGGGTGTATATATGAATATATACAGTTGAATGTCTGTGCTTTGTTGTTTCTGAGGGGTGTTTTGGTTAGGTCGCTGTGCTGCCCTAAAATTTCTGACGTTTCTTAACCAGTGTTACTCTCATTAGTGAATGTATGGGAAGTCAAAGGTATCGGTGAATAAGGTTAACGATGATCACCGTCATCGTTATAGAAGATACAGGTCTTAACTTTATGAGGAGAACTGGTTGTGAAGTTAGTGATGAGATGTTCTTCTGTTTTTTTTATCTGAAAGCAACCATGGGAATCAGTTTTCTGGTATCTGATTCCTTCCCTAAGTATGAAGCGATTAGATTTCAATTTGATCAAAAGTTCTTCATAACTACTTACTATACTAATTTAAACAGCATTGTTAAAAACCCAAACCAACAGTGATGATTAGCAATCTAAAGTACTGTACTGTTTCTTAACTTGATTAACTGTATGTGCATTCGTTACTATTCAGTACTGCTCAAAAACGCCTGTGGTGGCTGGCAGGAAGTACTGTGACACTGAGAATCTGACAACTGCTCCCATGCCTTTCTATGTTTGATTGCTCAGGGAACATCCTGCTATTTGTTACTGACATCTTAAACAACTGGAAATAGATTTGGATCAGTAAACGACTAACTCTGTAACTTTGTACTTGAAGAATATTTTTAAAAGCTAATAACAATTTTGAGTTCAGCTGACTGAAAGGTCATTCTGTAACAGTTACGCTCCTGTATTTTTAGCTTTCTTTAAAAACTTCAATAGATTTTCATTATTTTTAATGCTTAATAGCATGATGAAAATAATTTCACTTTGGTAAGTGTTATGTGAGTGTAATTACCATTTGAATTTGAGAGAGAGAGGTAGAACAACATAGCTAGCCACAGTGCCCTATCCTAGGGAGGAGGAGTATTCACTTGTTGGGTTTTAATTGCAAAAATCTTAGCTATATATGTAGACAATGCTGAAGAACTGATGTCACAAGATAGAAACTTTTTATTGGGGTTTTTTTTAATTATTGTAAGAATTTGAGTAGTAAATAATAATCTAGTTTTTTATGAAGGAATGTAATTCTTTTCTGTTTAGGACTCTGCAATAGAGACATCTGTGTACATGTTAGATGATTTATAAAATGTTTTGACTAAATTCATAGTACTGCAATTTGAAATTTTTACAAGGAATGGAATTTTTAAGCCCTTGTTCAACTTTCTCTATCCTATGTCTTGCAGTTTTAAAGTCCTTTTAAAAAGAATAACTGATAGGCATGTCATAAAAAAATCACTGGGAGGGAATGTGTTGGATATGAATTAGCAGATGCAGTTTCCTTATGTATTTTAATGTTGTTGACTTAGGAGTTGCTTCCACTTACTATTTAAAAATAGCTTGGAACTACTGTTCTGCATTCTGTCAATATGAAAAAGAGAGTGGATGATTCTAAAGTTTGTCCACTTCTAAATATAAAACTGCTTTGATCTTTTTATTAAACTGGCTGGGAATGTGATCACATTTTATATAGAACCATCTCAAAAAAAAAACCCTGAAACAAACACCACCCCCACCCCCAAGCCTTCAATGAAAAAGATCACAAAATGGATAGGACATGTTTAATACTGATTTTAAGAAATTAATGTTAGAGTTGTTCTCTAGTTTGGCTTTGCAACCTGATATTTCAAAGTTGTGTTCCGTTCTAGAACCTAGATAGAAGACTTAATTTTAGTTTTTTCTTTGTACAAGGTCTTTTCTTAATATCAGTTTATTAGAATTACCAATCTGATTCCAAGGTCAGGGTTTTCCCTCTGTGATCTCTCTAGATTGTATGTTGACAACTTACATCTTTTGATCAGTTCAACATTCATAATGTGGGCCTCACAGTCCTTCAGCTGTCTTAAAATGCAATTGTATCTCAATTTAATATTAAATATAGCCTTTTTAGGTGCTTATAATGTTGGCATTAATTGGATTAAGAATTAAATACAGTAGCAAGATTTTTGCTACCATCATCTGTACTCAGAGTTTATTCATGGGTGTAACAAGAACAGCGGTCTCATTTTTAGCTTCCCCCCCCTCCCCCCGCAAATGAACAGTTGACTAGGTTGTTTATTAATTAGTATTAGCTTTTATCCAACTGAAGCCTTGGTCCTATGTAGAACAGCAGTTTTTAAACTGTGGTCCGTGGGGGTGGAGTAAGCAATTACTTTTTTTTTTTAATTGAAAGTATGATGATAATGCTTTTCACTTTGTGAGGATTTCATTTTCATGGCTTTTGCATGGCAAGAACTTTTGTGGGAAGCTGAATATTTACTTCAAATTTCTGAAAATCCTCTGTTATTCCTAAGACAGGTCTTCACAGTGCAATGGAGAGCCGTGCAGGCGTTAACTCCACAGGCTCCAGAAGCTGCATCAGTAAGGGGTTTTGCTTGAGCTGTGTCTGCTGAGGGTCAGTGTCCATAAGCTGGAGCACAGTGCAACATTATTTTAAGTCTTCGCACTGCCTTCCTTTGCAGGACATACAGTTTTGACTCTGTTATTTATCCAGTGATCGTCTTTAGCATGCACGCAGTCAGTAGCAAGGGGTATCCTTCCATTTCTTTCATACATGGATAGGCTACTTCCCATTCCCCTTCTCTTGTTTTGGTGGGAGCTGCAGAGAGACAGTAACCAGGGAGCAGCTGACGTGCTAGAAGTACACTGTTGTAATATTTTTGTATCCATCCCTGAAGCAAACAATAAAAAATAGATAGAACTGGATGTGACTGTACAGCAAAAGAGGTTGGGTTTTAGGGAGGGCAGTTGGGGTGAAACACGAGAAGTTAAAGAAGTAGAAAGAAAGCACGTTGAACTGAGTAAAGATAAAGATATGGGGATTTATAGAATAAATTGGAAAGCCGAATTAGAAAAAGTAAAACAAAGAAATCTCAGAAAAGAATAAGGGAAAAGGAGAGAATGTATTTTTTAATCCTCTTTTTGTATCATCCCTCCAATAGGTCTCCAGGTTAGGGAAGAAGGACTGGCTTTCAACATGCGTATTATGTTGCTGATGGCTAATTTAGGATCTTTTCGATGTTTTGGGGAAGAAAAGGAGAAGCCTTTCTAGATGTCCATATCTGTTACTGTCATTGTAGAAGAGAATTGACACAAACATAAAAATTGATTATTATTAGGAATAGAACTTTGTACTGTTTGTTCTACTTTAAACTGGGTTTGTTGTGCTTAAAAAAAGCTGTTTAGTGTTTTGTAAATCATATTGCAGGAATTCACAGCCTAAGAAAGTCCCTCTGATGTCTCTGATTTAGTTCATTAAAATAGGTGGTTTCAACTTCTGATTTTTTTCCCAGGTTATTTTTATGAATGTCTACTAGTGCCAATCAGAATGCAGTGTTTCTTAATGCCAATTTATCTTTGCGGAAACATCTGTGCTACTATAATTAATATTATTTTAATACTTCCATTTAAAGTCTTTATAGCTTAATGCAAGTAATGCTACACATAACATAATGAGAAAGAAGTGAAGCATTCAGCATGAGAGATAATTATTTTAACCAAATTAGTATGTTAAACTGCTAGAAAAAGAAAAAAAAAGAAAATATTTAGTTAACATTTGGTCATTTCTAGTGCATGCATGTGTAACTCTTTTTGCTTCGGTGCATATGTCAGTGTATGTTTGTGGGTAGACTTTGCCTTAATAATGAGAGAGCGGCTTCACGCACTATACTCATTTTAGCCTTTTCTGCTCTCCAGTACATCAAAATTGTCTGGAGTTTTTTCTGGCCTCTGTTAGCGGTCTGGAACAATTAAAATCCAGATTCAAATTCTTAGTGGTTACAACTGTACAATTCTATTAAAGTGAGACATGAATTTTGTCTCATCTTTGGTCTTGCCAAGTCAACTGTTGCTTAAACTTTTGATATAAACGCCAATATATTTTTGCAAATAGTTTTCTATGCATGGGTCCTACATGGGGTTTGGCAAGGATGTCCCAGATAAAAATAAGAGCTCTGAGATTTACCTGTATTTTCTTCTGTTTAGTATGCCCATATCACTTAAATTGAATAGGCGGTGTCCCTGTAGTTTGGAGGAAGCAGAACTTATGTTTACAGCATCACAGTCAGAAATACACTTGCTTTTCCTTTCGAAAAGTTAGCTGTCGGTGAAGGTAGCTTTGATTTCATTTTCCTGAATATAGATTCAAGCCAATTCTATTAAGAACAAATAAAACAAAAATCAGTAGGAAGATTTTGCTCTTTGAAGCACAAGTTCAACCTTCACCACAATTCAGGTTTAAGAAGAGTTCTGATTTAAATGGTCAATTGGTGAAACTATTGCTAAGCATGAATACTTATCGGGAGATCAGTGAGATTTGATATAGTTACTGAAAATAAAAGTGTGTCTTTAAAAGTACTTGAAAAGTATTCAAAGGCAAAATATTTTGCTAGTCCAGGATCTTGTTGATGTACTAGTTATTAGAGAGATTTATTGTGTTACTAACTTGTTCAGAGAATGATTTTGACACTAACCTGGCTTTTGAAAATTAAGGAACTACTCTTTGAAGAGCAACACAGGAATTGACATAGTATGTTAGATGATTGGAGACTTACTGTTATTAGTGGCCATGTAGTGACTTCATTCCTCACCTGATGAATGTCAGAATATGGTTTCATATTTTATAAAGATATGAAAATTGAGAAAAAATGTTTAACTTATACTAGGAAAACAGAAAAGGTATAACAATTCATTTCCTACTCAAAGTGTTAATATTATTTTTAAATTATGTGGAGTTGAAATTCATTAGGGATTACACAAGGAAGAAAAAGTCCACACATTAGACCTCATTGCAAGCACCCATGTTTTTATATTTTTGTTGTGTGTTGAAATCATATGAAAATATTTTCAAATATTGTGTTTTAAAATGGCATCACGTGATTTCATTAACAGCTGCATGTACCTGTTTTGGCACCTGCATTTATCCATCAAGAAAAAGATGCTTTGCAAATCCTGCTGGGGAGATCAAACTGTCAAAACGTTTTCTCAGCTGACAAAATAAACCAGACAAGTGGCCGTTCTCTTTAATTAAGCTTACTTGGTAGAGAGAGAAAAATGCAGATTTTTTAATATTACAGTAGAATTGCCTCTGAGACACAATGTCACATGTCACGTATTGTTGACCATAGAAAAAATAGCAACAGCATAACATTTGTTGTTGGCTTTGTTTTCTTCTATCAAGTGGTAATGAAAATCTGAATGGTATAAAGGTGAAATCAATAATTAGGTATGTACTTCAAACTGATTGTTTACACAGACTTGTTTCTGGCCTGCATACTGCATTTGATCTGGGAAAGTAGCTTTAGTTTCTCTGTTAAATCTATTCAAATTAGTAAGTTTCAAATCTGTCAATGATGGCATTGATTATGTGTTTAAAATTATATTCTTACCTTATTGTCAGCACATATGAAAAAGTCGTGTTCATATTTGCTGAGATCCATCACTAGTCAGAAATAAGGATAAAAGCAGGGGAAATGAGCTGCGGTCTTTAAAATTGGACAAAAAGTGACATGCAACTTTTCTTCATTATATTATAGAATGAATTGTCAGTCTTTGCTATTCCTTGAAACTATTCATTTAAAAAATCCCTTTAAAGAGCTTTTTAGTGATTTCCTATTTTTGTTTGGTAGAACTTTTAAACCAAAATTTCCTTCCTAGTTAAAGTGATCTGGCCTGTATTCACTGTTTGGGTGCTCAGAGTTTGGAGGGTTGTCTTTTTATGTATCATGCCAAGCTGTCATGCTGTGTCGCAATACTGGATATTACTATTAGACACCTCGTGCTTTACCGTAATGTCGGTGTTGTGTAAAAATGGCGTTGCAAGGCTGGCGGTGAGAGCCAGCGTGAGTTGCACGGGGAGTATTGCACTGCTTGCGCTGTACCTGAGGGCCACAGCTGCTCCAGTGGAGATGGACTGTCTTGTTTATAGGAACATTCTAAATCTTATTCCAGGTTTTGACTCAGATGAAGAATTTGGGCCGTTCTGTCATCACACGCCGTTTCTAGGTGATGGTCTGGGATTGATGACTTTTGCCTTTTGTAAACTTTCTTTAATATTTCCTATGTTTGCACGTTTGCATGATAATGCAAGCTTCGGGCCTGTGGGGTGGTAGAGCAAGGGGAGAAAGGGCAAGGCAGGCATGTTGTCGCCAGAATTTATACAAGCCTACAGACATGGATTTTGTTTGACAGAAGTAAGTTAAATCAATCTCCACAGAATATGGATTTATTTTTTTTTTTAAAAGAAGACAAATCCTAATGAATGCATCGTTTACTCCTGTTCTGTGCAATGATGATCTGCATGGCATACTTTATTATGTGGTGACTGATGTATTTTGGCAACCACACTGTATATCCATAGGTAATTACATCTGTGCTTTTTAGATTACGTTCTTGTGGAATCCAATGGAGATAATAGCGTGCCTTAGTAACATATATAACAAAAACTCAATTGATAAAAATAGTGAGAATTTATTGTTTTTCAAGTATGCAGATTACCGTTAGGTTCTGCAAATGCTTGAGACAGTAAAACAGTACAAAATGAACAGTGCAGATTTCTGAGGAATCTGACGGCTTTAAGTCCATGGAAAATGCAAACCTTTTCGCTGAATTATTATTGTCATTGGTTGTGGCCCTGAATTCTCAAATGGTTTTCTGCAGATTTCATCAAGACCAATTTACTGTTCATATCAGCATTAACTGGTCCAAACAAATCTGTCTTACTCTGCTGACAGACACCAAAAATTGCTTTGGGGTTGCCTTTGGATGCAGATGTGGGGAAGCCAACTAGTTGGAATATACATCTGCTGATTATCTTCAAAGCTGTGATGTAGAAACCTACATCCATTTCTCTAACTGAACCAGGATAATGGCTGTAATATAGCCTTTTATTTTGTATATATGTCCGGCTTTAAACGTATCCTTACGTTACTTTTTTACAGATCAGAGAGTAGCATCTTTTTGCACCTTGAATGATATGCAGCAAGCTCAGGGCTTGGAAGGAACACAAGAGTTACCTTTGGATGAGAGTCTCATAGATGGAAAAGATTTCCTTGAGGCTACTGGGTATGTCAGAACTAAAGCGTATTTCTTACAAAAATATTTTAAGAAGAAAAGATTTTCTCTTAACGTTGCATGTCAAATTGCCTGTATGTATGTTTCACTGCTACCTGATGGCAGACCTGCTACCTTGACTGATCATGTCTTTAATTTTGAAAAATGTTTCTTGGAATCAACCGCTGAGCGGTTCTATCTAGGAAATTTGTAGTATAGTCAAATAAAGCTCTCTCACTAGAATAGGCCTCTAATTCAGAGTACGGTTAGATGCAGAGTTTCAGCTAATCAAATTTTTCACTGTATTCCTCCTATACCATAATAATTTGTGTTACGCTTATTTCTATTTTCATTTGAATAGAACCGATAACAGGAGCTCAACTCTGTAGTATGCAATAACCTTATCTGCAGCAAATGTCTCAGACCTTGGAACAGGCGTTCCTGCCTATCTTTTGCTACTATTTGCTACTCACAAATCCATAATTTTTCATTTATACAGAGGTAAATTAATCAAGAGAACCTGTAACTGAGGACTGCAGGAAACTCTTATGCCAAACTGCCCAATGCTTCAAATTCTTCCCAGTGCTCTGGAAGAGATTATTCTCCCCCTTCCCCCCCGCCCCCCGTCTTCCCTGCTGTGAGGAGTATACTTGTAAAAAACACAGATTCAGCAGTGTAATCTGTCCACTAGCACGCTTTAAAAGAAAAACACATCTTTGATTAGTTTTGCTCTTCAGCTGCAGGAATGGAAGAACAGGAAATGGAGGGAAAAGTCTTCTTGCTTGTTAGACTATCACATTTTAATTTGAACCAAGTTTACGCAAACTAACTTACATGATAAAGTGCATTTATTGTAATGACTTCTAAGTCCACATCTTTCCCCAGCCGAGTGATCAGTAAGGATTGCAGAAGACTGCTAAAGATGTTCCACTTTTAGCATCGGCAAACCTGTCAGATTTGTGCACTTGCATGAAGCAGCTGATCAGCTTTGTATACAAAGCTTCTCTCTTCTAGACACAATGATTCACGTTATGGCTAATTTCATCTATAACGTGTATAAAACTGTCTCCCACGGTGCTCGTTGTCATACAGGAAACAGAAGCTATTCTCAGTATTTTCCTTCAGTCATGCATTTGATTAACCTGTGGCAATATTTCATATGTTTTGACCTTTAAACAAAATATTTGTTTCCATAAAGCCATAGGTTTATCCTTTACTGGAAATGACACAACTGCAGACGAGAAAAAAGAACTCTTAACAGCTCTTTCGGTTTACAATAATTGCTGCTGCAGCTTGCTTCAGATTAGTACAGTCCTTATCAGAAAGCAGCTTGTTAACAAATGTGCTCGGCACACCGTTTAGCAGCAAGTTTGATTTGCAGTGTGAGGCTATGTGCAAATAATTCCTAAAACATTCCTTCTTAAAATCATTGTCATTTCTGCCCGCTTTGCGTGAGAGGCAGTGTCATATTTCAGGTATTGCAGCAATGGGTTTATGTTCCAGTAATAGTCTCTTGCTGATGCTGCTTTTGTCTGTGTTTTCCTAACTATGCCTAAACCGATGTGTTTCCTTTGCTATCACTAAAAGTGTTACTCTGCAAAAGCGGGGGGAGAAAATGTTTTTAACTAGCCCAGAGTGAAGGTAGTGGTTTACTTCACAGGGAACATGCTCCGAGTACTCTGACTGGAAAAGTAAACCAGCTAGAAGTCATCCTCCGGCAACTACAAACCGACCTGAGAAAGGTAAGAGGTCATTAGCGATATTATTACAGTTAAACTAGACAGTGTAATTAACGAATGGTAGAGCCCAGTGGTTGATCAGAACACTGGGGTGCAGAAGGTGCTGTGGAACGGTTATGTGAACAAGCTGCCCCAAGGCTAACTGGTTTGTGGGTCTTTACTCCAGAATAACCGTCCTACGTACAGTCATACCCCAGAAAGAATGAGGCACTTTATCTCCATTTGTGGTACCTTGGGTTTAACAAAGGATTAGGGATATGGGCACAGGCACTATTGCGAAGTAGTTAACGCTCCAGATTTGTCATCCTTGTTGCCTTGTGGTATCTTGATCATGTAACAATGACTTGCATTTGCTGTCTAATTTCTGAGCTGGAGACAATGCCAGGACTGGTAGAGATGAGACTGCTTTTGGTAAGAAAATAATCACGTAAGGGAAAATTTTGAAATTAGATATTTTTCTTCCTTAATGTATGCTTGAAATCAATTCCTTGTGACTTGGGCTCTCACATATGATTTGTAATAGCTAAAAGCTTCTTATTCTTTTAGTGCTTGAAATTTTTTGATAAATGGAGTAAACTCCTATAATTTTTGTATTAAAGTAGCATCTAGTTGTCTTTTTAGCTTGCAATATTTTCTCAGAATGAATGAGGTAGTTGGAGCATATTTGGGGAATTAACTTACGGTTAGTAGTTGTCAGAATGGATTAGGGAGCTCAACAAAATATAGCTGTATGACTTGCACAGAAATATTAACAACAAAAATAAACGCTGTCATCACGACTACTCACTTTACTCAACTTGTATCTTTGTTAACCAGGAAAAACAGGACAAGGCAGTTCTCCAAGCAGAGGTGCAGCATCTGAGACAAGATAACATGAGACTTCAGGAAGAGTCTCAAACAGCAGCTGCTCAGCTGAGGAAATTTACGGAATGGTTTTTCAATACGATAGACAAAAAATCCTAATGACTGGGCCCCTGGAAAATACTTATTTGAACAATGTAACAGCTGTATTTTTTGAATTAGCGGGGTAATAATGTCACTGTGTTCGCAATCCATTTTAGGTGTTTCTGCTACGTTCTCTATCCAGCTTTATTCATTTGAAAAGGAGAGAGAACTGTGGTAATCTGTCTTTAAATTCGTATGAAGAAAGCAGAGAATAGCAGATATTTGTTTGTGTGCAGATGAATGTAAAAAATCCTTAGTGTCATTTTAGACATTTTTAGAAGATGCTCTGGCTGGGGCTTGCCTGAAGAGGAATATTTGGGGTTTTAGTTCCTGCATTTCAGGTGCGCTGATGAAGATGTTAAAGCAATTTACATTAGCTTGGGCTTCAGTATTGTAAGATATAAAGAATAACCAGACATATACTTTAATGTTTAAAAGGTGCTCTATTTTTTTGTATGTACAGTAGTTTTATTTCCACAGTCCACATTGTCATAGCAATAACAATGGAGGTATAGTGAATAGTCACAAAGCTGTGTTTATAAAACGTTAGCACTGACGTGTTTAACACTAGTTTGGATGCAGATACATTAGAGATTATTTATTTGCAGGAACAAATGGTGCCTGAATATAAACAGTGTTCTGATTTTCTAAAAATACACATGCCTTGTAAATGGCTCACCGGGGTTAGCCCACTCCCAACATCAGTTACTTTTGTATAGTTGATGTTCAGCTAAACAGTTATACTGCTTAACTATTGAAATCATGTATGGTGTGAGCCAGCCAATCAATTGTACAATGCCAAATTTGTTTATCTTTGTACAGAAGCTTTGATCAAGTGTCTTGTATTTAACACCTTTATTTAAGCTTATTTAACCTAAATTGTTGTTTTTATAAAGTTTGTTTTATCTGCACTATGGTGAGGTCAGTTGGTTGCAAGTTGTAATATTTTTAGCTTGCCAAGACTGTACTGAGGAGTTCTAGAAAATTCTAACAATTGGATGCTGCTAGTACACAATTGATTTGTTTGTATGCTTTAACATTTTTAACTGTTTAATTTGAAATGAACATACATCCTGCTTTTTTAATAAATGTTAAAAATCTAAACCTGAATTATTTTATCTTGTGTTATCTATAACCACTCTCACCAGTAAGAGCTCAGGGTTCTGTTCAGCCCACTCTCTAGGTTCTCAGTCTGGAGACAGTCCAGCCCCCAGGTAACAATTCCTTGTTACCCTCGAAGGACTGTCAACATGATCAAAGTTCATCTCTTTGGTGTGCCCTGTCCTGTAGCTGAGGAGGCAGCTTCAGGGCTCAAGGAACAAAAGCTGTTTTGACTGTTCACAGGCATTGATTAGGGACCTAGGAGAAAAACTGCTTTACCCAAAAATGCGTCCTAAAGAAACTTTTCAAAAGGGCTCTAGTTTTCTTATATTATTTTGCATTAATTGTGGCAGCAAATAGCTTGCCATTTTCTTCTGCCGGCACTCGAGGATTTGATTGCAGTGTTCGCATATGTGAGATGTTTTGTGTATAGTACTGAGCTTCAAGTCCGCTCCAAAAAAGTACAGTTTTGCAAAATGAAATGGAGCTAATGAGCACGTTTGATGTTATCCTTCTGAGAGGGAAAAAAAAAAAGTTCAAGATCACGGTTGTATCCCAGTTTCCTTTCAGCAGCTGAATACATTCAGGCAAACCTAGAGAAAATTGTTGAATAGTTAAAAATAGATATTCAGCTGATGGAAGTAAAATTCTGTATCCATTGTTAGTGCATATCGGCTAAGAAATGTTTTTTAAGTTGAACGAATGTCTGTCCCTGCTATAACAATTGTTCTGAATGACTGCTCTCCGGAAACGTTATACACGGGCAGAGAATCAAGGCTTTGGCATCCTTACATTCAAACGAAAAAGACTATTTTGTCTTTGTATTTTTCATCAGAAACTCCGACTCTTACATACCAAACAACATCCATTAAGCCGTATTAACTTAGAGTAATTAAACATGGCAGTCACGTGTTACACCGGATTCTGATTTAAACACCTTACAGGAGTCATTAGCAAACCCATCTGGCTGGAGACCTTGCCAAATAACAGTGCTGAACAACTTGGGCAATTTGTCTGTGAACATGTTTCCGTGAGGATCGGTTTGTCCGCTTTGAAAAGCCGTGCGAACTGAAATGAGCTCGGGAATAAGCTTGTTCTGAAGGGACGCTGTTAGGTTTGTGTAAGAGTTTGTAGTCCAATATTCATTTTAGCTCTTTGTCTCTCCGTTACTGAAAACAAATACCTACCTGCGCAAGAAGGATTTTCAGTAGTTATCTTCTTTTCCCAACCAATTGGAAACATTTTATTTTCAAAAGTGACAGAAAACTTTGTCTACACATCACTTCTTCCCTTTGCTGACAAAAGCAGTTGTGTCAGAGGCACGTGGTTCTTCCTTAAGTAGCTTCCACCATGGGAAAAAGTTTCCAGTTTGGCTGTTATTGTTTTAATGACATGTGAAGACAATGTTTATCAGAGAGCATAATACAGTTTTGGCATAGGGAAAGGCGATTTAATTGGACGTTTTAATTAACTGGTTTTTAAGAATAATCCTCTCGGAGACATTTTGCTCACAAAAATGCCTGGTTTAGACACGTGGAGGCAGAGGCTAAGTCTGCGTAAGAAACTAGTCTGAGCACTAGGAAAATTTAGAGTGTTGCTAACCCAGGTTTTGGGAGCGGGAGGAGATCTTTCAGGCTCGCTCTTGGCCAGTCCCGTGACTGGACACCTCTTAGTGGCTGAAATCGTATGTTAGGTGGGCTCTGGCTTAGCTTCGTCTGGAAGCCCTGTGCTTCAAAACCAATCCGTATGAACCAAAGCAGAGTGAGTGGGGATGACTGAGAAATTCACTTCAAAGATGTGTTCGTGGTCTGAATTAAAACAGTAATATGGAACTGTTTTAAATGTCAACAAAGTCTTCCCAGCACAGCAGGCCGTGCTGTGAAGTGCCGAGATGCAGAAACCAAACATGTGAGCCAACGCGGGCGTTTACTTCTGTAAAAGGGCAAAATTACAAAATTCTCTGCTTTGCCTTAAAAGTGGCACCCTAATTTGTATGTAGATCTTTATTGAAGGGATCCTTACTAAGACATTTCTCACAATGTGGACTGTATTTTATTATGTATAGTTTTTTCTGAGATCACTATTACAAACATAAGGGATAATTTTTGGTATTTTTTCTGTTCCTGAGAGTGTAGTCATACTATGGTTTAGGCAAGGGATAGCTTTATACAGAAGCTTTATACATCCTCTGCATATTATTTAATATAAATTCTAAAATGAGTTCATCTTTTTTTGTGCCCAAAATCCAGTTATGTGGGAAAAATGTTTAAAATATTTGTAATATGAACTGGCTTACTGTAGGGCAGTTGCTTAGAAAAACAACCTTCAGTCTGGAAAAGAAGAGAGTTGCTCTGTGCATTATGTTGTTGTTGCAGCATTTGTTGTGCTCTCTGTGCTGACTGGTTCTAATATCTAAGAAATTTAGTGAAACTTAGGAATTGGTGTTGTACGATTTGAAATCATCAGAACCATTAATTATTGCCAAAACAAGTTCTTCTTCACCCCCAGCTTCTCTCTTCCACAGCAAAGACTAGAAGAAAAAGAATGTCTTTCAACTCAAAAGCAAACAAAATCTTGCTTCTGCATGTTTGGGAGCAGATTGTGCAAGCTGGGAGGGAAAAGTATACTTTTGCAATCCTGGAAATAAATGTGCCAAGAATATAAATCTTAATCTCGGCTGTTTTCTCTATGCACACAGGTTGTATTTTTCATTCGATTCCTCGCGCTTCCTTTATTTCACTCCCTCACCATGTTTCCTCGCTTTTCTCTCAAGAAGAATCCAATGGCACATGCACCAGAAGGAAAATTTCTGCAATAGATCCTGGTCTGGACTGCCAGGAACAAGTCTGTGTGGGTTTAGACAAAGCCATAGGGAGGCAGGGCCTAAATATTTTGCAGTCTTTGCTCCTACGTTGATCCCCACAGTGGCTGCAGAACAGAAAGTGAGGCAGGTACAATTCCATCCAGCCTTGCAAATGTAAATCTTTGCTCTTTTGCAGACTCTGAAGTCACTCACTGTCCTACCAAAGTGCTAGCTTTCTGAATCAGTTTTTGAGTCATGGGTAAAGCAACCAGGCGAGAACGTGTATTTCCGAAGGAACTGCATCTCGCAGATTTCCAAAATCTTCGCCAGGGAAGCAATTAAAAAAAAAAAAAGAAAAAAGGGGTGGGGGATAGAGAGGACATTTCCTCAGGTTTTATTTTGATTCTCCTTTCAGACAGACAACCAACACTGCTGGCGGTTGCACCAACTTAGGGGGACATAGCAGGACCAGAGAATGGAATGAACAGGCCAAATTGCTCATAGCCTTCCATGTTAGAAATCACTGGGAAGTTTCAAACGTATCAGTGTTGGAATCCTATTTCTTTTATTGACTTCTCTAGGGAAACAGTTTTCTGTCCTTTGTTTCATTTTTTGAACGTGAGCCTTTTTCCTCCACTAAGCATCAATGTTTAAAGGCTTGTTTTCTATATAGCATCAGAGAATTAATCTAGTAATAGTCATGTTGGCCTTGTCCTCACTGGAACAAACTGGGGCTGATAGGTGAATAATACAAATGTTAGTTTTGCAGAAAGGCTATACTTTTTTTTTTTTTTAATTCCTGCTATACAACAGCAAATCATTAAATCTCAAAACCTGAAAAACAGCAGATGGGCATTTTCTGACCAACGTCATAAAAAAACCCCGTTATTGAATATGTTGCTGATATCAGTCCAGGTGTCCTTGTGTCCAGACATCAGCTGGAGGTGTTTAAAATAAATCTGAGGAGAGATGATGGAGAGTAAGGAGACAAAAGCATGCCATGTCAGAAAGTGGGACATGCGAAGTGCACCGGTAGTAATCATGGGCAATATATGAGCTGAGCTTTTATTGATGACGGATGACTCTATGTCCAGAGGCTAGAACTTTAATAAAATAGGAAGTTTTCATGTAAGTTGTTTATCTTTTGTAAATCCACTGTTTGGAGCCCAGAAAAAGCAAGTGTGAGAAAAACTCGGGAAAACCTTTTGTCATGAGTTAACCCTGACCAGAAATCTGGGAGAAGGTCTGCAGTACTTGGATAGTTATGACTTAAAATCTAAGCGGTGGGGCTTTGGTTGTACCAAATTTAAAATGTTAGAAGCTCTCTCCTTTTCACCTTTGTTTCCTGTTTTGAAACTGATGAAAGTGTTTGACTATTTGAGTGACCAAAGCTGTTACTAATAGAATAAATAAGTGACCCTAGGGGTTGTCCAGTAGTAAATGCTGGGCTAGCCGTCTGAGGTTCTCTTTGCCGCTAACACTGTAGTCTCACTTTCGGCTCAGGCATAACTTTGATAGATAATATTTTCTGAAGAATTTTTTGTGGAAACCTGAGATATCTGCGTTCTCACCAACGCTGTGTTTCTCCCTCTACATAGACATTTTATTCAAGGCGATGGATGTTCCTTTCACAAACCCAAGACACGGTGGTTCTTTTCAACAAGAAATGTTTCTCTCGTGTGTAAGAACAGCGCTCCAGGAAGTATGTTCTAGCAGTAGTGCATCTTCAAGCTGTTTGTGCTCAATATGTCGGCTATCTGCTGCCACGCAGCTCCCAGATTCTTGGTCTTCCCTTCCTTTGCTAAGAGCTGAGTTTCTCAGTAGGGGTTTCAGTAAAAGTAAGCAGAAAACAAAAAGCTCCTTCAGACTTGCAATGTCTTCATTTTGGAGGAAATACAGTTTAAAGGTACAAATATCCTGTCTTGGTCTTTTCTGCGCCTTCTCCTGTCAGGAAGCTTAAAAAGGAACTTCAGGGTGGCTCAGCGCTTGAACAGTTCAAAGCCTGTTTGCTGAAATGCTTGTGTATGAGTAGGGGATCTTAAACGTAAGCACTAATTAATATAAAAATTTGTTCAACATGCTTCCAGCCTGCATACAGACCAGAAACAGTCTTGTTTCCAACGAGGGAAATGCTGTTCCATCAATTCCAGTCCGCGTTGGCTTGGACAATGGGGAATGAGTAATCTGCCATTCAAAGGAGAAAGCA